CACTGTCGTATCTAGTTGCAACGAGAGAATCAATGCCCATGTGATAGCCACCATCTCTGCCTGGGTTGAGTCCAATAGCGAAAAATCAATATCCAATGCCGTGCTTCCTGAAATGAGGTGTCCAATCTGTCCGTGAAAGTGAAAGTCTTCTTCGCTCTGGGAGATTAGTGCCATTGACCATGCTGCTGCCTTGTTGTCATTAGGTACCGAGGCGTCCGTGTAGATATAATAGTTGAACGGGTCCACCTCTGTGTACTTGGTCATCTTGATCGCGACTTCGGCGAACTCGTGCAGCTTCATTTCTGAATGGCATTCCTGTAAGTTTATCCAAGTGCTTTTCCGATCCAGGCGTACCGTGATCGGCTCGGGAATCTCGGCACGGCAGTGCAACGTGTCCGCTGCTGCATTTCCCCCTTTCGGTACTGGTTTTGCTGCTGCTCGTGATGCTTGTGACACTCGATCTCGAAACTGCCTAGCAACTTCTGTAATCTTTCCAATGCCAGACTTCAAACTATTGAACATCTTCGTGGTTTGCCCTACGGAATGTTCGTACGCCAGTGCTGCTCGTTCTTCGCGGCTAAGGGATGGGTTCATCTTGGCCTTCTGCTGCTTGTCCTCCTGGCCGAGCCATGTAGGGGGGTTCCAGGATAGCGGCAGGGACGAACGAGCATCTAGATAAAGGTCCGAATGAGGTGCATGATCTGTAACATCGGCCAATCCGACGGATCTGGTACAACTGCCTGGCAACCCAATCTCAGACGTGTACTGCGCACCCATGGTGTCGTGGCACTCGGATTCAAGTACCTCCGAGCTTCTAGGTTGTTTTCGTACAGCGGATGTGAGGCCCGCTGGTGGTCTATCTATACTGGAAGGCGTTAAAGTCGTCCGATCAGCTGCGGGTGATGCTTCACGCAGTGTCTTCCGTCTGCTTCCAACTTTGAATTCCATGCACTCGACAGGTCCAAAGTGAACCTGCTTGCCGCTCTTAGCGGCTGCCCGCGATCCCGTCAATGGTGCGATCGCCCCAGCCTGTGCTGGCCGTTGCTCCGAGGGACCCCGTGCGCGCGAACCTGCCGAAGGCGAGCATGGACCTTCTGGCAATGCGTGCTGGCGGTGGCTTCCCTGATGAACTGCTCTCTCCGTCACGAAAAGCGGTACCAAATCGGGGAAGTGATTGAGCTCGTTCAGGTTCGCGAGGGGGCGTATCTCCACTGGCGATACTGTACCTTTCTGGGCCTCCTTTTTTGCGAAAACCTTCGCGCGATCTCTCTCTCCTCGCTGGTGTAGGCGATCTCCAATGGCGGTGCTTCTCATTTTCTCCATCTCGTTCATCATCTTGGGTTAAAGGCTGCGTCGTAGTAATCGGTGATTTTGGTGACAACGCCCGTGGGATGCCATTCGGGGTACGCTGCTCGGGCGTGGCTGTTCCGTCTGGACGCACTGGCACTTGATGTTGATCGTTTTCTCCCACTTCGCTTGCCACTTCTGTTGGTGAGCATACAAATTCCGGAGATGGCTGTTCTGCTGGTACCGAGTCCGTATCCGATCCGACTGCTTGCAGCGCCGCTCGTAGCTGGCTGGCGGTCAGGGCTGAGAGGACGTCCTGGCTTGGAAGTTCTGGATAGCGATCTTGAGATGCGGCAGGTACTTCGACTTCTCTTTCTGGTTTCGCCTCCATCTCGATCTCGCCCGTGATGGTCGGTTTGGGAACGCCTTCTGCTGGGCTTTCGGATATTTTGACTGGCTCTACCACCGGTACCTCTTGGCTCTCATTCTGCTTTTTCTGCCGCTTTGCTTCCTCTGCCTTCACACGATCGGCCATGTCCGCTACCAACTTCTGCTTGCGATCCTTGGTCTCGTTTGTGTTGGTACTGGTGTCCGCTACATGCAAGCTGCCGCTCGCTGCCGCGCGGGCGTGTGCTGCAGCTGCCTCTTTTTGAGATTTTTGCATCCAACTCTGAGCCGTCTCCACTTCTTCGTCGGGAAAGGTAGCTGGTGACCATTCTTCTGGATGCTTATCCATCAACTGCTGCATGTAATACTGCTGCATGGCCATCTGCTGGTCGTACGTGGTCTTCTGGTTGGCGTTGTCCATCTGCAGCTGGTGGATAGTCGCCTGGAGATTGCCATTCTGAAGCTGCTGCTGCTGAATCATCTCCATGAGTTTTTGGATCTGATGGCTCGCTATCATGTCGGCGTGCTGCGGCTGAGGTGCTTGAGGAACATAGCTGCTGGATACCTTTGATTATGGTGGAGTTCTCTTCCTCAATTCCTTCGGCGTAGATGGTAACGGTACTGCAAGTCGGGGTTCCAAATCCATTAAAGCTTCCAGATACTCTGCTTCCGAATTATTATCTTCTTCATTGTCTGCTTCTTCTTCTTCGCCGTCTCGATCTTTGATAGCTTCTTTCAGTGCCGCACATGCTCGTTCGAGTTGCTGCTCTGCGTCTTCTTTCTTATAGTTGAGCATGACTTGTTCTTTCTTCAGCTCTTTGATCTTATCCTTCCAACGATCCACATTTTTACGATGCCCTTCAACTCGTGCTGCTGCAGGCTTCATTATGTCCAAGGTGTACTTGAGGGTCGCGATGATATCCTTCTCGTTGTCCATCTCGATGCCTGCTTTCTCTGCTGCGTGTACTGCTGCTGCGACCTGTGTCTGCTTGGCGTAGATCTTGTACCGAAAAGCTCTTGCCGCCTGATTGTCTGTCGGCGGCTCTTCCCAACACTCCATTTCCCTCGCTTCATCAGGCATAGCGATCGGGATGTCATCAATGAGCTTCTGGATGTGCGGCAATCTCTTCGGCGGAGCCTTTTCTTTTGGCGTTCTTGCCCTTGGAGGTCTGTCCTGGCACGAGCATGTCTTCGAGCTGTTCGGGTTGGTCAATCCACACTGCCGACACTGCCACCTGTTTGCATGGCGCTGCCTTCCATCTCTTGGCTCCTGACCAGCTCGCTCGCGATCACGACGCTCGTAACGGTCACGACCTCGATTCCGAGATAAAGACCTTGCCATTATGCTGTGATGCTTGTCCAAGTAACTTTTTGCTTTGGAAATCCGCAACAACACTCTTGCCGCAGCCCTGCGGCGTCTGGCTCGCCTGTGCCAAGCGGGCGAGCGGGGTACCTTCCCCGTAGTTGTCGAAGTTGACGCTGGTGTTGCGGTCCTTGTTGCACCTGGCTGTGCGGGATCGCGGGCGGCGCCTGCGCGGCGCGCCCCGCTCGGCGCGGCCCGCCCTGGGCGCTGTGCCCGGCTCTCGGGCAAACACGCCTCTCCTCCTCCTCCTCCTCCTCCTCCTCCTCCTCCTCCTCATCCGCCTCCTCCTCCCCTCCTCCTCCTCCTCCTCCTCCCTCCTCTCCTCCTCCTCCTCCTCCTCCTTCTCCTCCTCCTCCTCCTCGGGGGCCGCCCCCGACGCCCCCGAGCCGCCCCCGAGACGCTCCCGCGGCCTGCCCGCCCTCGGGGGGGGGGGCGGCGCGGCGGGGCGGCGGGGCGGAGGGCACCGGTGAATGGGGCCCTGGGGCACACCAACAAAGGCACACAAAGAAAAGGAGTCCCCATGTTTTCTCACATGTTCAGGGTTTTTGTCTTCCCCCCCCCCACTTTCAGGGGGGCGTAAGACCCGGGTACAGGGACTCGGAAATCCCCGACGAGGTCGACAAAAAAATGACGAGGCCGAGCCTGCATTTTGACGAGGCCTCCCGCTGCAGACATCCCACGAAACTCCTACTCGTCAAAATCCAAGTCGCGGTCGTCAAAAAACGATGGCGAACCCGAGTCCTGGCAAACCCGGGTCTTACGCTCCCCCGACACTCCCCATATTTTTCCACATCTTCCGGGGGATCGGCGATGACTTGTGTCTGTGTGTTTTGTTCCCCTCCTGAACCGGGGAGGGCGCCTCGAGCGGGGCGGGGCTGCGCAGAGCACGCGCCCGGGGCGGCCGCACAGCGCACGCCCGCCGTCGGGGTCGTCGGGACGGAGAGGCCCGAGGCGGCGAGTTCCACTCGGGGTGCGTGCCTGTCTGGGCGTGGCCTTCTCGGGAGGCTCGGAGGGCCTGGGGCCTGCCGGGGAGCCTTCGGGGCCTCCCCCGAAGACACTTTTTGTTGCGTCGGCGGCTGGGCAAAAAGGGACCGCGCTGGCGGAGAGGCACTGGCAGAGGGCATACGAGCGCGAAGTCAGCCGCGACGCACGAGAAAAGGAGGAGGAGGCGCCCGGCGGTGGCGGGAGGGAGGCGGCAGCCGGGGAAACGTCCTCCCCGAAGACACGGCAGATTTCTCGGCAGGCGCGAGGAGCTCTGAGAAGCCCCGCCGCCTCCTGAGGATGCCTGCTCTCCTTCTCCCTTCCCTCCCGGGCGCGCCGTCGAGTGAGCTCCACTCGGGTTCCGCTCCTGTCCTCGGGGCCCCAGCCCTCGGGGCGCCTCTTTGAAGCGTCGACCGCCCTGCCCATCCTCTGGCCTTCCCGTGCGGCATCTTCCACTGCTCCCACCTCCGCCCCACCGACGGGAGAGGTGGCGGCGGACGCCCCGTGCCCTGATCGAAACCCGCTCGCGCCAGGAGCGCGCGCCGGAAGAGCAAGAGGGCCAAGGGAGAGCCTGGCAGGGGAGAGGCGTGCACCATCCGCCACCGCGCCTGCAGCGGTTGGTCTACCTCGGGCCCTTTCTGTTCGCCCTCCTGGCTGCTGCAAACTGAGGACCCCCGACGCAGCGAGCCCAAGATGCGTTCCTTCGCGCGGCCAGGTCCCTCCATCTCCGGCCTCCCCGGCAGAAAATGCTCCCAAATACAAAGCCTGGGAAACAGGGGGGCTCGTGGACCCTCACCCCTCCCCCCCCCAGAAGACGCCCCCGCCCCCCCCCCCCCCCCGCCCGCCCGAGCGCGGTGGCGGAATCGCGCGGCAGCGCAAGTGCATAGCTCAGAAAAGGCAGGAAGCGGGGCGGTGGCGAAGAGGGACCACTGGGAGACGAGAGGGAGAGCACAGAGCGGCAGACTTCGCGGCCCCCGCCCACCAAACATCACGTTCTTCGCCGACCTCCTCGGCTTCGCCACGACGCACCTCGGCGCTGGCTTGCAACTTCAACACGTCACGGCATTGCCACGGGCTCCAAAATGGAAGGGCCGTCTGGGGTACCCGCACATTCCCTTCTGAGCCCGTTCGGCGTCTGAGCCCGTTGGGCCGCCGAGTGGGCAGCTGAACGAGATTTGTTTCGCCCGCGGCGTCTGTCCAGGCCACCGCATACCATTCCAGAGCCCCGGACCCACATCATCCACGGCGGGTGACAGCCTTCCGCGCGGGTGCAACTCAGCACATCTGGCCGATGACCAAACTCCACCCATTGTCGCTCAGGTATCTCGTTCCCGTTCCCCTCTCACTCCTCCCCTATACTCCACGGCCTTCTCCTCATCTTCCTCCCCCTCGTCCTTCCGCCCCCCCCTCGCCGCCCACTAGTACTCATCGCATCGTTTCTTCACCAATGCAAAGTACTCCCACGTCCGTCGGTCTAGCCCCTGAACATGCCCAAGCGTGACACCCCGCCTTACGCATCGAACGACAAGATCACGTTCCCCTTTCAGCATTGATGCTGGGTGGTCGGCGCTGGAAGCTGCGCGGCAGGAGCGGGGACGCGGCGCACATCGCACGCGAGAACGCGGAAGGCCGCGCTGGCCCGAGGGGGCCGCGCAGACCTCTCCCGACAAGCCGCGCAACGGGCGGACGCGCACTGTCGCACGCAGCCCTCGGAGGCCTGGAAATTGGCACCAACACCAACTCAGGGGGCTGCCTCCTCGGGGGGAAGGTGATCCCAGATCGCGGTGTTGGTGGTAATATTTCGGCCACCTTGGAAACCAGAATATTACCACCATCACCGAGACTGGGATCTTCTTCCCTCGGTGGAGGCACGCCGCCGATATTGGTGTTGGTGTCAACCTCGAGGCCTGCGAAGCCCCCTCTCGCGGTGCGCGCCGGCCCGATCTCGAGCTGCACTCCGCTCGCCAGAGCAGACTCGGTGCGCGGCCGAAGGGCGCTGGCCGTCCCCCTGCACGGAGCCCGACCGGGCCCACGCCGGGCCTCTGGGCACACGCCCTCTCTGGGCTTGGCCGGGAAGGCCCGCGCGCCGATCCTGGGCCTCCTCCTCCTCCTCCTCCTCCTCCTCCTCCTCCTCCTCCTCCTCCTCCTCCCCTCCTCTCCCCCCCCCTCCTCCTCCTCCTCCTCCTCCTCGTCCTCCTCCCTCCTCCTCCTCCTCCTCCTCCTCCTCCTCCTCCTCCTCCTCCTCCTCCTCCTCCTCCTCCTCCTCCTCCAGGATCGGCCTGTGCAAGGTGCGTGCAGGCGTAAAGTCGGCGGCCAGCATGCCCCTCCTCTCTGGCCAGGGCGAGGCGGGGGGAGGCGCAACCCTCGGGCGCGCATGCCCCGCGCGCGCGGCGAACGCGGGCAGGGCGGCTTCGCACTGCGCCGCGCACGCAGGGGCGGACTCTCGAGGCTTCTGCTTTCCTCTTGTAGAGGGCAGCACCCGACGCTTTCGCGACGTGGGGCAGAACACCTCCGGGCAAGCGGGGAATGCCACGCGAGGCTGCAACAAGAGCGCACGCGCGGGGAAAATAACAGCTGTCTTTGTGCCGCGGCGACCAGGGGTCCAGGACGCGGCCAGGGCAGGCGAAGGAGGAGGCGGAAGCAAGTTCGGCACGGGAGGAGCACGAGAGGCGCGGAGGGCAGGAAGGGCGCCGCGGGCGGCGGAGCGCGCTGAGACCGCGAAGATGTTGTGCGCATGTGCCGGAGCACGGGCCTGCACGGGCAGCAAGCTTAGACGAGCGCGTTCCACTGCTCGCGAAGTGGCTGCTCGCAAAGGGCCCGGATCCGCCGCGGGGGATCTACGGTAGAGTCCATCGAAGCAGGCGTGTGTTTTTCCAGACGTTTGCGAGTAGGCATTTTGCGAGTAGTGGAACGCGCTCGGTGAAAACTTGGAGTGGCAAGACGAACCTGCGGGTGCGCCGAGTCCACGAAATGTCGGGCGGAAAGGATACACATCCCTGTCAATCTGCGACTGCAAGCGACTCGGACGGAAGTCGAAGCATACGCTGGGACGCAGGCAAACCAATATAATCCGCTGACCCTGTCGACGTGAGCGAGGGGCTTGTCTGTTCGAGTCGTTGTCTCCAACAGTCGTCGTCTCCGACGTCTCTTTTCCCTGCACCGTCCTCCTCAAGCTGGTCAGCCATAAAAAATCTAGGAATGCCACAATCGAGTCGAAGGGAAGCCCCTTCCCTTTGATCCCTCCCCCCGGCGGCGGGAAGGGTCCCAAGGGGGTAAGGGGGGTCCTGGGTAGATGGGGTCAAATTCCCAGGAATGGTTTCTGACACCATTCAGAATCGTCTGGACTCAACAGGCAGGTTGCCTCGTGGCGTTAAAGTCATCCAACGGGGCACTCCCCTAGTGGAAATGAACCCCTGCAGGCGCCCATGAAGAGGGAGCTTGGAGAGAGGGTGTGCTCCACCATCGTTGATGAGTCTTGGGCTTACACTGGTCTTCCTCCTCCTCCACCTCCGCCTCCTCCTCCTCCTCCTGCTCCTCCTCCTCCTCCACCTCCGCCTCCGCCTCCGCCTCCTCATCCTCCTCATCCTCCTCATCCTCCTCATCCTCCTCCTCCTCCTCAAGGACACCAACATTCACCGACAGTCAATTCCCCCACGCCGTGCCCAGCTCGGCGCACGGCTACTCTCGCTGTCGACGCGCCTTGCTCGCACGGCCCAGGCGCGCTTCTGAGGCGCGCTGTCCCTGCGGGCGTGCGCGGGCCTCCCCTTCCTGTCATGATTACGGTTCCCTGACCCGAGCGTCGCCAGGCCGGCACAGCCGTGCACCGCAGTCTCATGGCGCTGCACTGCGCCCCGGATCTGGTCCACGATGTTGTCGGCGCCCACGCGCCAGCTGCCGCTGAAGCTGAGGCCGACGAGCGCACAGCTAC